TTTTTTTTTTTTTTTTTTTTTTTTTTTTTTTAAGAAAGAATACAATACAAGTCTTTATAAAAGCCAGGAACCGGGGCCAGCGTCCCTTACAAAATTAGGTGAGGCCCTCAGCAGGCAAGGCATCACAGGCCAAGCACATCCATGGTGATAACATGGTGGGTTGTGGAAACAGTGGATCGGTGTGTTGACGGAGTGGGACCGAGTGCAGTTGCAGTACAATTCTGGGGGATATGATAAGCAGATATTAATAAGTATATATTAAGTAGATAACAGGGTGATAACTGCTTTGAATTGATGAGTTGGAAGTTTGGTATTTCACGGCGTGCAAGAGAGCAGATAATGTAGGGATTACTTTTTCAGCCTGATTCGAACTTGCCACTTTTTGGAGTCGATGNTTGGAAGTTTGGTATTTCACGGCGTGCAAGAGAGCAGATAATGTAGGGATTACTTTTTCAGCCTGATTCGAACTTGCCACTTTTTGGAGTCGATGCTGTTTTTTACTTGGTTTTGTTTTTTGGGATTTGAACTCGCGACGTTGAAGTGGTATTACGGCAGATAAGGCGCGGAGGAAGAATTGAACCGACGACCTGTGAATCGGTTGTTTTTCACTCAGAATCCACTAGAACCAAGTAGGGTACCGCTATAGGTCTTGTGTTCCTAGGATTGTCTGAAGTCTTATATAGAACTATAAATAGGAAGGCCGCGGTACTATTCCTACCGACAGACCCCTGATGAGGCTGGGCTTGGCGACCAGCCGAAACCGGTCGGGTCATGCGCCAACCGGACTATTGTCCGTGCATTGTACTTCAAGTTTTATTAATTGGACGTCGCGTTCGGGATTGTACATGGACTTCTTCTCGTCTTTTCTCCTTTTCTTTCTCTCTCCTCTTGATGCTCGTGGGTCGTAATTGATGGATGCAGTTAAGGTCGTGGCATGTCCTGTTTAATGCTTGTTGATATCTTCACGTATTGAGCTTGTCTATTTCGACAACCTTATCACACGTTGTAACCGTCGTAGGGATCGTACTACGTACGTGTGGCTTCGAGTTACGTTGATTGTAGTCAACATGGCGTCCAACATGGCTACGTCATCTTCCATTATCCGCACCTGTTATAATTGCGGTCAGCCCGGGCACTTCGCTCGATCCTGTCCCCTTCGTCTGCAGTCTGGTCAAACTAACACCAATACTGCTATTGTTCCTGCGCAGAATTCTCAAGTAGTCACCGTTCCTGCTGGCGGCGCTCCGTACGGTAACTTTGGATACAACTTTGGAGGTGGACTAAAGCCGCGGGTGGAGAATCTTGAAGCTACCGTGGCCACCATCAAAGCACGACACGACGCCGAGATGGAACGTGAGAAGATCAAGCATGAAGAAGAAGAACGAAAGAAACGGGAGAAGGAAGACGAAGAACGCAGAAGAGAAGCTAAGAAGGAGAGAGAGGAATTGCATGAACAGATGAGCAAGGCTCTCGGAGGGAAGTTAGATGCGGTCAAAGAATTATTAGAGAAGAAGAAAGGCTCGGAAAATGACGAAGTGGCCAAGCTCAGAGCGGAGTTGGAGCTCCTTCGCAAGGGGCAGGCACAAGCTACGAATGTTGCGTCAACTTCCGAGTCTGAATATGATAAGTACCAAAAAGCGATGTCAGAAGAAAAGGCTAGATCCGAGAAGAGGTTTGCTGCGATGGAGGAAGAGATTGCACGACTAAAGAAGGCGAATGCAGAGACACTTGGTGCGGTTGAAACCTGGAAAGCGGAGGCACTGAGACCGGGTAATAAAAGGGGTGGTGTCGCTGTTACACCCTCTCCAGTCCCTCGTTCCAGAATGCGCACGAGGTACACACCGGTTGTGTCCCCTCCTTTTGATAAGGAGCAGGCCAAGCAAGCGATGGCTGATCAGGAGCATGAGATCGAGTTACTTAAAGAATGGAGGTTGCGTGAGTTGAACGGGAGACGGAAAGCGGAGCAGGAGTTAGAGAAACTCAAGGAGCAGATGGCCAACTTGGAGGTGAAGAAAACGCCGATGACCACGAACTTACGTTCAAGACTTGATAAAGTGGCTACGGTAGACAAAGGCAAGAAGCCTGTCACACCGGGGTTGTCCAAGTGGGAGAGTGGAGTGCAGTGCAGTGTCAGCGGAAGATCCTGAAGAATCTGAAGAAGGAAGATATTTTGGCGATATGTAGGGAGGAGGATATTACGTATGTTACGTTGGAGAAGACAAAGGAGGAAATTGCACAGAAACGTGCAGATGACGAATGTCGATTACAATCGGCAAAACCAGGAGGTGTCGTCATTCACGATGTGTTAGACAATGATGTGCCAGGTGAAGATGGCAGTACGGAGGTTCCTGCCGATTCGGGCTACTTCGTGGTAAGTATACCCGAGCGCGGCCCTGTGGAATCTATTGAGAGTTTGTCTTAGACTTAGATCACCCTCCCCCGAGTTAGTACGCAGTAAACCTGTTAGTACGTTGGCATTCGTGTTGATAGCTCTTTTGATCTCGTTTAATGCTGTTTTGTGGGGGAAGGAGTTGTGTGGGTTCATTCGACAAGCGATTGATGATGGAGTTGACTTGGATTCATTCGGGGGACTGCTTGTTTATGTGTTGTTTTCGCCCTGGTGTCGACAAATATATGTTGGTAGTACATCACGAGACTTGCACACTAGATGGGGGGAGCACGTTTATCGTAGTAATAATGTGGATGGAGTGAGCATGAGGAGGAGGAATGAGAAGTTATATAGATGGATGCAAAGAAACGGTACTCACAATTATGTTGCCGTACCAAAAGAAGACTTGGTTGGTTGCGAACGGTTTTTCATACGACTATTTTCACCATCTCTTAATTTGCGTGATAGGGTCAAACGGTCAAAAAGGATAAGATTAGGTCTACGGGAGCGGCTCAAGAAGGCGAAGAGGAATGTTGGTGGAAATTCCCCCGTTGACCATAGTTGTTCTCTTCTCTCCTTTAGCTCTGACTTTGGACTGTCCTCGTATAGTTTGCTTAGGATCCTTGATGATTGTCGGTGCAATTCGAGGCGTCAGTGTGTAGTGCAGTGTCATGGCGGCACCCTCCTGTCTGATCGTTGGAAGGTGGTTCGGCGACTGTACGGTGGTTCGATGGTTTCTAGTCAACATTGGCGTGGACTTTTTAGGCACGCTCATGGATGGATTAAGCATGGTGTTGAATTGGTATTTGAGTTTATTGTACCCTTTTCATCTAAGGCTTCTGTTTTTAAACCATCCCTGATTGTTTTTTTAAGTAAACCTGTCACACGCAAGGTTCTGGTATCTTGGTCTTTTGACTCTTTAGTTCTTGCTTTTTCAACCATTCGCACATTCACAGAGAAGCGAACTCGTGGCCGTTTGAGATGTATTCTGTCAAGGGTCATTTCAAGTCGGTTTGGTGTTCAAATCAGGCAGAGAATCGTCGTTCGGTTAACTTACGATGAAAACATTAGTAAGGTGGCCGTTCGTCAGCTGTGTGCAAAGTTAGTACGTTGTTTAACTATTCCAGAAGTATGGAAAGATGTGTTGATCAGAAGGCTTTGGGTCGTTTGGTGCCGTAATCGCACGATCGGTGACTTATTACACAATTTTAGGCGCGCAGCCCACACAACTGTTTTTAAGTGTGTATGCGACGTTGCCAATGTTGAGTTCCCAAGGAACAATGGCCACGTGACTTTTCGTTTTTCGGAGAATGATTTTTTTCCGGAATGGATGAATAATAGTAGAAACATCGTACGACCTTCCAATCGCAATCACGCGGTTGTTGTAAAGAAGGATATTCTGGAAGCCTTTCATGCGCACTTTTTGTTACCTGCTCTGGAATGTAATTTAGTTAGTCCTTCTAATCTGTCTTCCTGCCTCCTCAAGGCTCAACCAGATGTTGATGCTTGTAGTATGGAAGAGGTTGTTAAGGTTCGTGACAAGCTGGAGGGTCTGGTGAGGTGTCCTGTGGACCATAATTTAGGAGATACGTTTGTTTGCTGCCCATTGGTTTACGAGAGGGGGATGAAGCTAATGTTTCTTAATAACCCGACCTTCACAGTAGTTTCGAGAAGCGAGGATGCTATGCTCAAAGAAATTTCTGTAACTTATAACGATGCATCTCTACATAGGGTAGGTAAATGGGATGAAGAAGGGCAGTTTGGAAGAGCTTATTGCTTTCCAAAACATAAGGACACGAATCGTTGGCGTCCAATTTGTCCCTCCTTTCTGGAATGTTCGGCGTTTGGTGGCGGACGTGTGTCATGATCTATTAATTATATGTTGTGGCGTCTTCCGAAGAGTACCAACCTCAACTTGAGATGCACTGAAGAGCTGGTGGATAGAATCAAAGGAGTCAATCATACAGTTGGTAAGAAAGATGGACTAGTAGGTGGTTGCTTTGATATTAAGGAGATGTTTTCCAATCTCCCTCACCCTTCTATTATGAGTGCGGTATGTTGGGCAATTCGTCAGTGGGAGAATGAAGGTTTTTATGGAGTCGCGGTAAGAACCAGGGGTAAAGAAGTAAAGCTGGTTAAGGGTAAGAAGGAGTTAGGATGGGTATATTTGGAGTTTTCGCAGATTTTGGCATTCGTTCAGTTTGAACTCAGTAACACTTTCATCATGGCCGCAGATGCACTGCTGCAACAGAACGTTGGCATTCCGATGGGCAAATCCACAAGCCCCGCGTTGGCCTGTCTTCTGTGTGCGCACAATGAATGATTGTTTTTATCTTCTTTGGGGAAAGATTGACATTTGTTCTCGGGATTTCGGCGTGTTGATGACGTCTCTGTGTTCATCAAGTACAGGAAACAAGATCCTAGTTCGTTTAGTCAAGCGGTGAACATGATGCAGAGGTTCCAATCATGCTACGACAAAAACTTGGTCCTCGAACGGACGGACTATGGGAACTCATGGGACTACCTTGGTTGTGTACTCAAGACTTTTGATGGGACTAATGAAGTTGTTTGTATGCCCTGTCACAAAAACCAGTGTGGACCTGTCTGTGGGAGATTGGTATTTCACTGCATCCAAGATTTTTGCTCGTATTCAAGTAAACAGCAAAAAATGGTTGTAATAGGTTCGTTCCTTCATAGAGCCCGCCGTTTTGCGATGGTTCCTGGTACTGAGGGCCCTTTTCTGTTTTCTCTAAATACGGAGTTATGGCGACATGGGTATCCCGATGAGTACTTTGATCGTGCTCTGACGAATTTTTCGCGAAAACATGGTGGGTTGTGGAAACACTGGATCGGTGTGTTGACGGAGTGGGACCGAGTGCAGTAGCAGTACAATTCTGGGGGATATGATAAGCAGATATTAATAAGTATATATTAAGTAGATAACAAGGTGATAATTGCTTTGAATTGATGAGTTGGAAGTTTGGTATTTCACGGCGTGCAAGAGAGCAGATAATGTAGGGATTACTTTTTCAGCCTGATTCGAACTTGCCACTTTTTGGAGTCGATGGTGTTTTTTACTTGGTTTTGTTTTTTGGTATTTGAACTCGCGACGTTGAAGTGGTATTACGACAGATAAGGCGCGGAGGAAGAATTGAACCGACGACCTGTGAATCGGTTGTTTTTCACTCAGAATCCACTAGAACCAAGTGGGGTACCGCTATAGGCCTTGTGTTCCTAGGATTGTCTGAAGTCTTATATAGAACTATAAATAGGAAGTCCGCGGTACTATTCCTACCGACAGACCCCTGATGAGGCTGGGCTTGGCGACCAGCCGAAACCGGTCGGGTCGTGTGCCAACCGGACTATTGTCCGTGCATTGTACTTCAAGTTTTATTAATTTGACATCGCGTTCGGGATTGTACATGGACTTCTTCTCATCTTTTCTCCTTTTTTTTCTCTCTCCTCTTGATGCTCGTGGGTCGTAATTGATGGATGCAGTTAAGGTCGTGGCATGTCGTGTTTAATGCTTGTTGATATCTTCACGTATTGAGCTTGTCTATTTCGACAACAAGCACATCCAGGGCACCACTAGATTTCACCCTGCAGTCGACTCCACAACCAACTCCACAGCCCCTACCTCTGAAAAATCAACCAAAATTATTGAACCGACTGACCCCTACCCGAAGTGAATCAGATTTTTTTTTTATTTTTTTTTTCAATTTCATAATTATTGTATTCTGTTCAAATGAGGGCATATTCACACTAAGTGGTTTTTTTGGCTAATTTGCAAAATCCGCTATGATGTTAGAGTCACACTAGGGTTTTCTGACCACCAAAGTTGCAAACGGGGTAGCATTTGTCAGCAGCCTGGGGGGCCGCGGGGATGGGCATTTTGCTACCACCTCGAGACGTGGTGGCAAATTCTCTTTTGGCCGTCGCAAATTCTCTTTGGCCTTTTGGGAATTGTTAAAAGAAAATTTCCGCACTTTGTGACCATGAGAGGCACCAATTTTGCAATTGCCAGAGAGTCCCGCTCTTGTCCTTTCTGATTTGCAACCCATGTGTGACCGGGTGGGTTTTTTTTTTTTTTTTTTTTTTTTAAAAGGCTAATTCTTTTAAACCACCAGTACCTCACTCAGCTATCAAGTCCGAGCCTCGGCCGACCTGTACGCCGATCCGTGCCAAGGCTCGGACTACCGGGCGCAGGCATCCCGAACGTCCATGTGAGACAGACGAAGAAAACGGGAAGAAAACAAAGAAAAAAAAAACAAAGAAATAAGAAAAATAAATGGTTCATTCCCGCTGCCTGCTATAGGAAGGCTTCCGAAAGGCAAAGCGGGAATGAATCTTCCCACTTTCACGGGAAGATTCATTCCCGCTTTGCGATTTGAAAGTCCCACAGACACAGAGAGAGAGAGAGAGAGAGAGAGAGAGAGAGAGAGAGAGAGAGAGAGAGAGAGAGAGAGAGAGAGAGAGAGAGAGAGAGAG